AAAATAGGTCACAGAGTTAGCATCGTTATTTTACATTTAGTTTCTACAGCATAAACAAATTTTAAAAATGTATTTAAGCTTCATAAGTTCGTCTGCAAGGCAAACATAATTATTTTAAGGGCTTTTCACAAACCTATACATGGTTTTGACTTATTAATTTAGTTGAAGAAACAGTTTAGCATTTAAAGCGTATAAAAATATTCGTTTTTAGGCCATTTTTAAAATTGTTATAGTTCTTATTTTACAAGGTTTAACACAGATTTTATTTTACAAAATTTATTTTTTAACCCTTTTCTATCAGCACATACCAAAATTATATGGATACAACCTGCAAAAAAGAAGTTGTGTGCATTTAAAGAAGGGGAGGGGGTCAAGCATACTGAAAACATGCCTTATTAGAATCAACCTTGTGTGGTCATGACAGTGCCTTTTCAAAATATCTGTACTGGATATTAAAGGTCTTTCCTTACCCTATCATGTGGCTTACCTAAATAATTCCTTATGATGTACATGATTTTTTAAAATAATATTTTAAATTATAACTTTTCAAGAGCTAAAAAATGCTATATTTTGGCAAAATTGCCAAAAAAAGATCTGCCCCCATATCTCTAAAACTAATGATCCAAAATAGGAAAGCCAGTGGCTCACAATATCTTTTATGTTGATGGTTTACCACACCAAAAATTATTAAAATCTGCTGACCCCCACCTTGCCGCCTTCTGACCGATCTGTCTGGCTTTCTCATGGACGCGCTCTTAATTGTGATCCGATCTACCGGTGAATTCGGGATCAATCGGTGCCGAGTCTGGTAGTTGGGTAGACATGATAGATACAGAATCTATTTAATCATCCATTTCATAAAAAAATATAGCAACAAACAATCGTTAAATGTGTTTTTGAATTTATGAAATATACAACTGTATAAATTGTTGTTTATATCAAATCCTTGTCCTTATACGTAGGGAGGGGTTTTAGAAATTTCGAATGGAGCTATGACCACCACCTAGCTACGATAGTGCTATGTTTCCTGGGCGTCGGATTCCTGCGCGAATATACAACCCTCGTCCCAGACAAGGTCCAGATAGATGGTGGACCGAAATGTTGTGTTTCACTGGTGTTATTTAGTCTCTTTGTAAAAAAACAAATATATTTTATCATCCTATCTAGAGACGTCAAAAATCTCATTCATAGCCAATGTAAGTTTGATATTGTGAGTCAAGTCACGTTCATTTTATAATGCAATACCTTCATTTGTGTGAATATACAGGCAGGACGTCCTTTGTAGTCGAACAGCCTTTTAACATACGTGCGGAGATTTTGCTTGAATCGAGTTGACTTTAGCCGAAGGATTCGTTATTTATCCAGTTTTACTATTGCCAAAATGTCTAAGTTTTTCCAAAATAGTTGGGGATTATTAAGAATTGTGCAATCAAGATGGGGATTGGCACGAACCGTGTCACCTAACCAGATATTATTGACGAAAGGTTTACAGAGTGGGTTAGTGCTGGAATATACACCATGTAAGCAATCAGTTCGAGAACTGACCGGCCAAGTGACCGTCCAACCAGTACGGTTTAAGAAAGTAAGTAAAAATTAAGCAGTCAGTAATGATGGCGAGATTTACAGCACGGTCATCTCCAATATAGAACACTGGTAAAACAATTTAATCCCTTTATCCCGTACAGGGGTATGTTTTTGCCATCTATCCTATCTACCTAACTGAGGCCCGTAGCCGGGGGAGGGGGGATTCGGGGGGTTTAAAAGAACCGCCCCTTTTGGTGGGAAAAGGTCCCCTCTGGGTAAAATTTGATCCAGGTTCATGAAGTTTTTATTGAAAAAAGGTCCAATTTTTCAGAAAAAGAACCGTCCTATTGAAATTTCTGGCTTCGGGTCTGTAACTTCTACACGTTCCCTGTACACCCAGTATTGTAGCTACCCGGTAGGGTGACTGCTTAGGGTATATTGTAAAGTCAGATTTGGTTGTCCCAACATTTGCCTATTTGAGAGAAGATTATTGGATATTAAGGTATATTTTTTATGCAGAGCGTCGAGTGGTGTAGGTTGGGGGTGTAAATTACTGAACATTAACTACATACGTGCGTTTGGGCCCGCAATCTTTGTGAACTAGGCAATGGCTTCTGAGTCCTCAAATGCAAAATAACCCAGACAAGTAATTTTTATGACGCAGATAGTGAAAGGACATAGTACTCGTTTTGAACAAGATGGAATAAAAAACAACTTTTTGCCTCTTGTGTATTTCACAGACAATAATGCACATGTTCTTTGTCACCAACAATCTAGATGCCGACCGATTACCCCCCGGTTACTGCATCTGATCACTGGAGACGAAATATACGAACAATATTTAATTGCTTCGATTCGAACGACGACGGC